TTCAGGAAAACTTAAGTTGAAAACACAGGTGTTGTGTAAAACAGCAGATAGGATATAAAAATGTGTTTTTTTCCCCCCATAAAAAAAAAAACAAGTTAGAATTGGTGTCACGCGTTACTATGGTTACTATGGTTACCAGGACTTAATCACTGGATCATAAAACGTCCTGTTATCCGCCACCTGGGCCACCGCCGCCAAGGTGAAGACACCGGAAGTGGAAGCACGTTTTTTTTTTTTTAGTACCAGGACTGTCAGGTACAGGGTAACAGGGAACTTTACATCCCCCCTTAAGAGTTTACTACTTTCGAATTACAACTTTGTGGACGCCGCGTTCAAAGCCAGTCCCGCATTTATTGTAAATATCTACCGAACCACTATTTCACTCTCTTTAGCTCGTTAGCTCGTCTTAGCTGCTGCACTTCACTGAGGTTAGCGCCACACAACGACACAACAAGTAACAACTACACACACATCTCCGACAAGATCACACTGGTTAACGTTGAATAACACGGAGTCACGATTGAGAAAAGTAATCTGCGTGTCTGCTCACTTCCACTTCCACGACGTGATGGGAACACACACACGACGGTCCCGGCTGCTAACCTTACACAGTTTAAGTCAACGAAAGTGCTGCTAAGCGAGCTAACGACACGGTCGGAGGCTGTGGGGGTGATACAGCCGCGAATATGTGACCTCGGCGTTTTGTAAATAAGAACCGGTTAAAGGTATGTAAGAAGAAAAGTCCCAACACTTACAGTTTCACAACATTCTCAACAACAGCTGCCATCTTGCTTTAATACACGGGAGGAGTGGAGGAGGGTTCTGAGTTGCCCTCTGTCAGGACTTGTAGGCAGAGCGAGCACACAAGGCGTCTACCGTGCGCCCTCTGCTGGCGGGGCTTCGGTATTACAAGATAGGTAATCATGCACCATGCATCAAATGTTATTTTGTCCCCGGGGTGGAGGGGGGGGAGGGCAATTCAAAGGCACATAGAGGAGTAAATTAACAACAGTGCAAGTAGACGAAACATTGCTGTACATATATAAACAACACAACTTCAGAAGGTCAACGCTTTTTTTATTTATTTTTTTATATTCAGGTCTAATTGTTTCAGCTGTTTACAGGTTCTTGCTTTAAATTACACACATATATATGTTTTTTATTTTCCCTGCATGGGTTATGTACATTTGTTGTTATAAGTCTATTTTTAATTGCACAGTTTAAGTTTGTTTCATCTAGGGGTATTATTTAAATCTTTTTTCTGGTTAATATATATGTATGGAGGGGAGGGGTGGGTCAGTTTTGTGGTTAATTTGTAACAAATGTTTCATGTCATGTACGTCTTTGTAACCTGCTACTGGATGCTTTGAATTTCCCTCTGGATCAATGAAGTATCTATCTATCTATCTATCTATCTATCTATCTATCTATCTATCTATCTATCTATCTATTTTAACCTAAATATAAAGTGTCAGTTTGTATACAACTTAAAGCTTAGACTTAATTTAAAAATACAAACTATAAAGGAGTAGATATAAGTGGACAGTGATCGGACTAACAGATGTAAACAGATGTAACCATAACTATGTGCAGTAGTGACCAGATGTAAACAGAACTATGTGCAGTAAACGAGAAATAAATATATATATATATATATATACAGAGCTATGTGCAAGTCGGCTAAATACTAGATAGTAAATGATAAGTTATAAGGTGCATGGTGAATAATGGAACAACAGAACTCATATATACAATATAACTGTAAAGGTAAAAATGAGATAAATAAAGTGACCGTAGTGCAATGATGGATAAGAAACATCAGGAATAAAGTAACCAGAACTGGATGAATACTGAAATAGAAAGGATAGAATAAAGTGATGTAGTGCATGAGACCAGATAAAGTATTTTTCATGTCATGTGTCAGCAGCTCATGATCATAAAGGATAAATGATCCTCTATAATTGTATCTCTAGCAAAGGTAACTTTAACATAAGCTACACAAATGAGACTCAAACTGTAACAACCTAGAAAGAGCCTTTATTTTGACTGCATGGGCTCGAAACAAAATGTTTTGTTGCTCCTGTTTATTCTAGAATACTTAAACCATATATCTTTTTTTTTTTTTAATTCCTTTAAATTTGTCAAAGTAAAAAAAAAACAAGACTAGTGGTAAAAGTAGGCTTAAATAAGTTAAAATACTGCATGTAGATATGTCCCTTCAGCCCCTCCTTCTTTTTATACAAACTTTGAGGCTGTGATATCTTCCAGCTCTTTGAGTCTTTGACCACCATCCCAATCCTCCAGCAGTGAGGTTTATAACCACAGTAGTGAAACTGGGATTCATTGTTCTCTTAAAAACTCAAACTGAAGGTTTCCTCAGCTCCTAAGATGACTCCATCCTTCCCAGCATCCACTGATTCATCATAAACCCACTGTTAGTCATCACTCCATCAGCCTTGGCCTCATTTGCAGCAGATGTCTCATTGATTCATTGTTAATGGCAGCACTGAACAAACACTGCACATGTATGCTACTCCAGCAATATATGAACTCATATTTTTAGCTCCCATCTAGAATTATTTTTTTCCCACACAATTGTTTTCATTATATGATGACTTTTCCTCACCCCCCCCACCCTCGTTCCTATAAACACCACAGGCACCCACCCAGCGGAAACATTCCTTGGGTCTTCAGTAAAAGTACATTTCATTAACAAACAAAATTCATCTAACTTACAACACATACAACAGATATAAAATAATATATAGTTACATAATACAATACACATATACACTACATTTTAAACTGTTATATTACATTGATACTATATTCATATGAATATATATTTTAACACCCTATATAATATTAAATACAACATATTATGTAACAGTATATAAATATTATACACCCATACATATATGTTCTTATATAAAGTGTGTACAGTACAAATAACATTTGATAAAATGGGATAATTAAACTCATTTTAAAAAATTAAGGATGAAATGCACGATCAATAAATAATAGTCCTTCTGCATTATACTAGTTAGGAAAATAAGTTCATTATGGTTGATCAGATGGAAGCCTGTTTAGCCTGCTGAAATGTGAGATAAAGGGTTGCATTTTCTGACTCAACCTCTGAGTGCAACCTTGGTTTTCTGAAGTTGGAGAAAGGACATTAAGCCACTCAAAGAGAGAGAAGCTGACTGGATCATTTCCATGTCCACGTGCCAGGAGGCTCGAGAACGCAGTAACATCAGTCTGTTTGGTACGTTTGTCTGAGATGGGGACTCCAAAGATGGCTGTCGATGGACATTGTTGTAGATTGATTTTTTTTTTAACACATCAGATAAAGTATCAAAAATGAATCCCCAGAAATGTTTCCATTTCTGATGAAAATAAAACACGGGGCTAAGGTTGGCAGGTGTGTGGCTACGTCGTTTAAACTTGCTTTTCAAATGGGAGTATAGTTCTGCTAGTTTGGCTTTAGAATAGTGAATCATGTGAAGAACTTTAAACTGCATGTTACCTAGTGCACATGATGTAGTGGAACTTACCCCCTCCATCGCTTCACCCCTCCAGTCGTCTGAACGTTCAATATTCACTTCTCCTTCCCCAGCAGTTTTGGCTTTATTGACAGATTTGTATTTAAATGACACAGAAACAAGTTATATCTGAAAAAAAAGAAAAGATTTCTGATGTGGATTTATTTTACGTAGTACTTCTATAGCAAGATAGTTGGCAGTGAAGAAGATGAAGTAAAACTAGTGGATACAAAATGCTGTATTTGAAAATCTTGAAAGAGATGAGAGTGTGGTGAGTCAAAAAGTATCTAAAACATGTCATCGTCTATCTTTTCCACGAGGAAAAAGAGCAGTCCAAGACAGAGGGTTGGAAGGAGTGGTTATTAAAGCTTGGACCTGATGATAAGGCATAACTGAACTGAAAATGAAGCCGGAACTGACACTAGGTTTTTTTAGGGAAGCCGAAACAACAGGATTTCTTGTGGAGAGAGATATTGGATAGGCGGAACATAGTAGGGCAGGAAGAGATGTTGACGTACAAGATTTACCTTATACACCAAGTGTGTTGGACCAATGTGATAGGAAATTGCAATAATATTTGTTGCTCCATTATTTGATATTTAATAGATATATAACCAATCATTTATTCATGGAAGAGGAAGCATAATCAATAGTAGCGTCCCTAGTTGGAAATGTAGGGTCTGATTTTATGGAGTAAACATAAAATCAGGTCTAAACATCTTTTTGTCACCATTCTTTCTTTTTTTTTTTTTTACCTGCCCTTTTTGATTCCCCTATAATCATGGAAGAGCCATGCTGAAATGAAATGTGCCCAAGACTCATTTCAGTATGTCAATCAACCCAAGTACCACCATAGTACCACTGTCAAGGTTTCAGGAAAATGCTGATAACACACTTGACAGTGAAATCCAAATAACTAATATGTTCAACCATATGTGGTAGAGAACGCTCTAAGCTGAATGCATCCATACATTTTATTTACTCCACTTTCAGGTTTTGACAAGTCTTATTATTTTCAGTTCATTTTGTGGGGCCCTAGAAGATATGCTATGCTCCCATTACACACATTAGTATTACACTACTATTTCTGGACATTTATACATTCATTAGAGAGACAGGACAGCGGTAAGGGTCAGAAATCTGGTAGAGGAGAGTGGGGAATGACATGCAGGAAAGGAGCCACAGGTTGAATTTGGGACAACAGCCTCTGTGCATGGGGCACGCAAAGTTAAGCCTATTTCTGTTGTTTTGGGCTTTTGCAACTCTGGGTTTTGAGATAACTCTAGAGCTCGACAAAACAAAAGGTAACCACTCATTATCCCAGGAAAAGGGAGTTAGCAAAATGTATGCATACATGTCCACTCAGGGCTTCCATAGTTGAGGTATTTTAAGATACAACAGTTCCAATGGAGACATTATGGGTACTTTTTATAAATCATGAAAATCCCCACACCAATGTAATCGTTTTGATTAAACCACGTTTTATTATTCCTAATATTAGATGTAGATACACAAGTCAACAAACATTATTTTCCATTTGTAATGAAAATGCTCCACAGCACACTGACATCGTGTGGAAGGGTCTGGTATTACAGACACGTACCTGAAAATGGACAGCAGTTACACGTTTTGCAATAGGTTGCATTAGTAACAGTAGTAGTAATAGTAACAACAGTAGCAATAATGTAATAATAGCAATTAATAATAGTAGTGGTATTAACAACTCTGAATTACAGAGGAAGGAACAGACATTGGTCAAAAGTAATGAGAGATGAAGGTAGGTGGACAGGCTTATCAAATGCTGCAAGAAAGACCACTGGATGAAAAAATACAAGCTCCCACTAGACAGCAAATATCCTGCCTTCTAAAAAATAAAGGAAGCTCAAATTGTCACCAGTCTGTTTCACTCATATCTAATACTTAACAAGTAAAAGTTGTTGTTTTTTTCTTCATTAAGTACTCCATAGTTACAAGTACTGTCTTAACCAAAAACTCATCTCTTTGACATCAATAATACACACTTTCCATGTTGTGGTCAAAGCTCACCTGTAGCACAATGCCATTTGAAAAAGGATGCAGTATGCAACATCGAATCACAGCCAGGATCAGCAGGGTCGCTCTGCATTAAATACACAGTACTGTATTCATGTGGGCGTTTGTGTGAAAGAGGGAGAGTGACAGCTCATGTGTAGTATGTCAAGTACTGTATGAGAGAAATGTTTTTGCTTCACATGACCAATTTGGCCAAACTAATTTGAATCATTCACATTCAAATCAGCTGATAAGAAAATACACTGTGCGACCTTTAGACTCCCGAACACCAACTATATGCCGCGTTCGACGTCCAGAGTAGAGAAAAGGTAGCAATATTCACTAAAACCAGCTCCAACACTGGGGAAGAATGACTCCTCCTTCAAATTCTGCACAATGTATGCTAGCTGCATCGGCTCACTTATGTATGCAATGACCTTATTTACTCGGTAACCACGCTGTAGGCTGCTATCATACAGCCAAGACTCAAAGTCTGACAGATACAAGGCGGTCAGTTTGATAAAGTTTCTGACCATGTGTGGCCAACTTGACTGAACTCTTTCAATAGTCACTAAGTGGATGTTCTGGTGTCTCTCGTCCCTGACTTGGGGGGATCTTGGATTTGAGCTTTTCGACCACATTCATTTTGGGACTGGAAAATAAGGCCAACCTGTTGAAACTGCAACCTAATACAAGTTTTACTTCCAGCAGTTTCAGTTTAGTGCGACATTCCTGTGGTATATTCGGCTTTAAAGAGTTCCTCTCAAGATTAAAAAAAACAAACAAAAAAAAAGAATATTTATTGATAAGTTGCAACCTCCTTGAAAGATTATCCATTAAGCTTTTAAACTCAATTGTTCCCCTGTTACTTTCTGTTGCATTTTGGCAGTTAGAAAAGGCAAATTAAGTGGCTGACTTATTAACAATGAACAACCCATCTAATGGTCTCAAGTTATTTATATAAAATGCACTACTGCCTACAGTCTCACAGTATACTGTTCATTTATTTTTTTTAGTTTAAACGTGTACAGTCATTTAGGAAACTAGTTGACACCTATCACTTATTAACATTTACTATATTTGATTGCCATTATCATGGTTTTTGATTATAAATGCCAATTACAGGTGATTAATTGCTCTCCGGCCCTGATTATGAAGCGATCTCGTGTTTTCAGAGCACATGGACACAGAGGAGAATAGACGGCAATGATGAGACACGTACAAGAATAAACCTACATGAAGTCATGCCATATACTCGAGAGCTCGTAGCTCATCTAAGAGACGATTTAGGACTTTCCCATCTCTGCAAACGCCAGAAAGCAGAGGTTTTACTGTTGATTTTTATTGTACCTGCATATATAATCCACTGACATACATTAGATCATTGCCACAGGGCACATTTTGAACACTCCTCTTAGTACTACAAAGGCTTCCTTTAGGACTGTCTCAATGGAGGATGGGCTTGTAAAAAAGGGTTCAGTGTATCTGTAGTGGGTTCAAGTAAGGCTCAGTACACCTCTGTCCGTCCGGTAGCACATTACGCGCATATCTTCACTGCCTATCCAATCTCACTTCTACATCCCTCTCCTTTCACCTGTAATGACACCCGTCAGCTGTCCGTCTGTACTGCTCCCAGTCTGTGGACTGCCACAGAAAATGTGCTTCAGCTTTTTGTCTACAAATTGTCCCCCATGCCTTCACACCAGTAGAGAAAGAACAGCAAGTTAGAAGACTTAAAAACAGAAATAATGGAACTGTCTTGATGAACTTCATTGGTAATGTCAGCTTACATATAATAAAAACCCAAAAGCAAAGAAAATCTAACTTTATGAAATCATTCTCGTCAAATTTGTCTGCGTTTGTGCCTGGCTTTTGTCAACGGAGCTAAAAGCAGCATTCATCTGGCCACGTTTGATCAATAACATAAACGTGCAAAATCCACAGCACCACAACTCACACACACGCACACGCAGTCACGCACACACACACACACTAGAAAACTAATCTTCTCTGCTTTGTACAGAAAAAAAAAAAGAAAACTGAAAATCAAGCAGAAAAGATCACTCAAAAGAAATAATCAGATACAGGCAAGAAAACAATCAAATAAAAAATAAAACCACTTATTAAATATATATATCATTTTCCCAATTTCACTTGTGATCACTTACTGCAAACAGCTAAAATTTATTGAGCTTTATTTTTCTCAAAACACCTCATAAACTCATTCCTAAAAAAGAATAATAATAATACATACAAAGGGGAAAACCCAACATTCTCCACTAGTTGAACCAAAGTTGTTTCTCTCCACAACATGAATCAAGATTATCTATTGTCATATGAATTAGTCCGTTTTTCAAACCAGCAAGATAAATAATAATAATAATAATAATAATAATAACAGCAATAATATCGGTCAGGTTAATAACATCAATACAAAGAACGGAAAGAGAGACTGATGTGATCCTTTTCAAAGAGAGAACGATTGGAAGAGGAGAAATAAAACCAGCGTGCTCCACAGCAGAAAGCAACCATTCATTTCTCAGCGAAAGTCCTCTAAACGGCTCAGCTAGCAAAGACACACTGAAATTATTCATGCTGAAAGAAGACATTTTTGGTGGATTTGAACCAGGTCTGGGTCCCTGCTAATGCCAGCCGCACTTGTTACTGACAGAGTGAAGAGTTCTGCTATTCAGCCGAAACTGGATGAGGGTGTCGTGTGCAGATTTTTGTGATAAATGCATTTGTTGAAGGAAAAAGAAACTTAACAGATAAAACTGGCGAGGGAGAGAATCAAAGAGAAAGAAAAAGTTCTCTGTAAGCCACATACAGCAGCTGTCGACAAATTCCTCGGGGGGCCTGCGCTGAGAGCAGTGTGTTTGTGGGACCTGTTTGCAATTACTTTCTGCCTGCTTCAGTTCTTTGACATTTTGACATGATGTAGCTTCCATCGATGATTTAACAAGTGTTCTATTTTTTCTTGCCAAAGAAGCTGAACCTCTTCTCGCGATCTCTGTCTTTCCCGTCTTTGTTGCGCATGGTAACGCCTCCTCCTGCATCACCTGAGCTGGGGGAGATGGGGGGCATCGTCATGGCACGACTGAGCGCCCGTGGACCTCCGGGCGAGTCTCCTGCTCCCGCTGGAATGGAGCCAAGGATGGATCGGATCCAGGAGCTCATTTCCGCCTTAGAGTAAAAAAAATATATATTGGTTATTCAGGCAGCGTCAGAACAATCAAGATTATTATTTTTATTTAAACATCTTTAGTTATTATTTTTTTTAGAAGAACTTCTCACCTCATCCTTTGCTTGGAACAGGTACTCTTTTCCGTCTCCTAGCCTGCAGACACAGTCAGAAGAAGAAGACCGTTAGTCAGGGTGAAGCTACAGGTCTGATTATCTGACTCTTTTTGGTATTTTGGTCCTTTTTCTTTGAGTTCATTCATCTTACAGGGTGACACAGGCTCTTTAATCTTTGCTCGATGGTTTTTAGTTGCCAAGTCTCGACATACCTGAGCTTAAATACATGTTTCCTCTTCTTATAGTCATGGGCAACCTCACACACAGCCTCCCCGAGGCTGATGGGTACTTCTCCATGGTATGGAATGCCATTGCTAGCGCTCCTGTTGTCTTTATAAAAACCAAGACTTCCTTTTCTTAAGACACAGTACACATTCTGCCAGGACCTAAGAGGAGCAGAGAAATGGGATTAAGAGCGAAACGTTCCAATAAAAGAGATTACTTTCTGTACTCAACAACAACAACACTCACCTGGTAGCTGCCTTTTTGCTGTGAGACTCCATCTCCTGTTTTCGATAAAGCATCCCCTCCATGGTTTCTGGCTCAGACTCTGCTCCGCCCCTGCTCGGTAACGTGGCGGACGGTTCAAGGCGTGAAGAAGCCAGCCCGCTGTCTCTACCTGGTCCGTTCACAGAATCCGTCTCCGAGCCCTGTGATTCAAACCAGAACACAAAACGGTGGTGAGAACGGAGTAAAAAGACGAGGTCGGAGGGGAGCATTGAGCAGCAAATCAGCCATTCACAGCCGTACATGGAGAGGCATGATGAGGCTCGCTCTGACCACACTGTATGATTACCTGAGACAACAGCTTCACACGGGGACAGACAGTCAACATAATCACACAGTACACTGACTTCACACAGGACAATCACAGTCACGAGAGACACAGAGGTAAAATAAGCACACATATGTGAAACATGTATTCTACAATAACAACAACATACACACTTAACATTTCTATACTGAAAATACAATCAAAACTTTCCAAAAACACCGCAATGCAAGATTTGTTTGGAACAAAGAACAGCTAATATAAGCTTTTAACTTTAGTCTCAGTTATTTAATAATTAGTGATGTTTAATTAATGTATCACCCTACATGGTTCCACAAAGCACAGACAAAAACAGACATGAACGCACTCACAGTTCAACTCTCTAAGGCAGGGCTATTCAACTCTATTGTTCAGGGGGGGGGCCACATTTTCAGAAAGCTAAGAACCCAGGGGGCCAGACAAACAAGCCCACCAAAGCAGTACAGTGTGCAAAGCCATCAACAACACAGGCTTGTGATAGTCTGCGAGCACAAGACTAAAGATGTTCTATTAAACTAGAGCGCCCTGCTGATTTTAACACTTGACTGTGGCAACAATGACAGTCATTCACAAGTTTTCCCCCGTTTATTTATCTTTTTTATTGTAAATAGAACTGATCTGCAGGCCAGTCTGATGTCACGGGCCGGAGTTGGCCTCTGGGCCGCCAGCTGAATAGACCTGATCTAAGGCTTTAACTCCAAATAAATATCTTACAAAGGGAATATTGGCCCTTTGTAAAATAAAACCTTGAATGTGAAATCCAGAGACAGTAGTTTTTTTTTAAAGAACTCTGTTGTAGCACTAATAGAAAGCAGCATCAGCTCAGAAGAAGTTTGTATTTGCCCGAGGATGCAGAACAGATATAAAGACTACAGATATAAACAACGACTAAAACAAGCTACATATAAAATTACTTTCCACAGTTACCACCACCACCACATTGACATTTAAAATCACGCCTGTCCTGGTCAATGAGAGCACATTTATAACAACATACTGAGCCATGAAAACAATCTGTTCACGAATCAGCATCATGCCTTCAAACAGCAATGGGACTCTTTAAAGAAATCGTGTTGTGCATGAATAAAAAAAAAAGCGATGGTTTGCATCTGTGACAGAAGGCGATGGCTTTCACCATTAAAAAAAAAAAAAAAGAGGCACTGCAGTTGACCAGGAGCTGAGTGGAGGCTGTGAAGGGGCAGGTGGGGGGCGGGGTGGGGAAGCTACAAAGCTGACCATGTCTTTGTACTCACACGCTCCGGCTGCTTTGGCTTACACACACGTTTAGGCTCTGATTTCTTTCCCACTGACAACGATAGCGATAACGACTGCTGGTAAAAACGCAATAAGAAAATGTTAAGAAGCCTTGAAACTTAAAGGTTGGTGGTTACAGAATCTGTGACACACTGTAACCACCAAAACCCCACACACACACACACACACACGCACACACACGCACAGGCACGCACACACTCGTCAACCTGTCCAATCCAGTCAGTGTGGCTGAGATTCAGTTTTGAATCTGTTAACCCCTGGTGATTCTTTTCAGAGAAGAAGTTCCACACAAAAGACTTGATAACAATAAAACTCTCAGCAGACATATTTGAAAATAGATTGTTTAAATAAACACTTAAAGTGACCTCCACACTTAATATACATACTCTGCGGTCAAAGAAATCTGTGTAAAACATGTTAATTAGTGTTGAACAGACAGACACAGGGACATACAGCTACAATATGTTTTATATGTACATAAATATCACACCTTTTGACAACAGGCTGAGTGAAACAGTGATTCTACTTGTTACATATAAATGTCATGATGTAAAAGATGAGGTAGGACAACATGTAAGAAGACATCACAGGACATTTCATGCTGGAGCTCTAAGATACAAACATAAACAGGAAATAGGAAACAGGTTAGAATTCCTGCAACACTGAAAGCTGTAATCTTCCAGAGCTACGTGTCTCACCTGTGATGTGTCGTTGTCGCTGTGAACTCCATTCACTGAGACCGACTGATTGAGCGTGGTCTGGTCCAGACTGGTTCTACATTTAGGAGCGAGTGAAGAACACATGTTTATGACAACAATAAAAAAAACGTCAGCTGATAGTAAACACCGTCTTAAGAAAAGCTAACCCTATGGTTTACCTGGCTGCAGAATCGTGAACGTGACTTTCTGTCTCGGTCTGTGCGACTTCTTCAGCTGGGGGCGGTGTAGGGGGTCGCCGGGCTCTCTCCTCCTCCTCTCGCCTCCTTTGGATCTCATGCTCCTCCAGCTGAAAAGTAAGGATATTAGTAGTGCTATCTTAACTTAATGCCTCATTAGTGAGGGGAATTCCATCCTGAATTCATTCATTAATGCCACTTAGAACGACCTAAAACATTCCCAAAGACACGTTTTATTTTTACAAGTGATTTGAGGTGTCGCTCTACTTACTGTGGTGAGTTTCTCCAGCAGCACAAAGCGGTCTTCCCATGCCGCGGCAAGTTTCTCAAAGGCCTCGTGGCGCTTTATTAGACTCTCTACCTCATCCACATTTCCACCCAGCTCGGCCGCTCGCACCAGAGGTTCCTGACCCGCCAACCAGGACTCTGCCACATAGGCGTCACGTCCAAACTGCAACACCTCCAGCACTGAGAGGTGGAGAGAAGGAGGGCAGGAGACGGAGAGACGTACACAAAAAAGAAAGAAAGAGAGGGTCAACAAACAAGACAACAGAAAAAAATTAAATAGAAATGACATGAGAAATATATAGATATAATAAATATCATAAATATATGAGTCTGGGCACATGCAGTAGTACTCCGGGCCCTTCAAAACTAACAATGGCTCTTTGACAAAAACAAAACACAGGCTTTATTGATTTCACTAGCTTGCGTTTGTGCAGCAAAGCAAAAATAAAAACATGAAGACCAACCAATAATTATAGCACCTTCAACACTTGTCATAATTGTGTTACCAGCCATGTTTTATAGATCTCTTTGTATTGTGTAACTAGTGATTTTGTACAGTTTACACATGTAGGCCTTCAAACCGGATCTGTTCATCCACCTCTTATCTTCATTCTTTACCAAATACCATTGTGTCCACAACCATGAACACCATCACTTTCTTTGTTCTCCATACAACTGTTTCATTAATGATTAAGTGCGAAATTAAACAGATTCTGAAACATGTAAGGCGTACCAATTTGTAAATGATCCATCTTGTCTTGCCAGTTTTTGTTGATCCTGTCCCTCTTTTCTTGGAGTTGGGTCAGTTTCTCTCGGATCTGTGAATCAAGAAACATTCATTAACAAGGGGAAACATAAAACGACTGATATGTCATAATAATCACCAATGTGGCATTAAGCGTGTTTCCTTTTTTGAAATATGCATTAATATTACCTCATCCGCTGCATAGTGATTGTTGTTGATGAGGGTATTTCCCATCTCATTGCAGGCGGTAAAGCTGTCTGCTCTGGTGTCAATCTCTGACTTGATGTCTTGATGGTTGTTAATGACTAACCCTGCAGAAGAAACATCCCTGAGAAACAGAAAGGAGGGAAAGAGATGATGAGTTATATAAATCTGATTAGAAAATCCATTAAGTTAACTTGCAAATTCAAGCGAGCATCAATATGACATTAACCTGGGGCTATCATGTGCGTCAATCTGCAGGTTGATGCCGTCCATCCAGAGCATCAGATCCCGCACCATGTTGAAGAAGCGGAACTTCTCAACAGTGTCCAGCAGGAGGAGCCTGCGGGCTGTTCCAGCCTCAAGCAGACCCTCCCAGGCAGAGGTGACGGCATGTTCACTCCTGTTAATGTCATCAGCTTTCTCCCCGGCATAAGCCTTCTGCAGCCGCGCAGCATCGTCTTGTACCTGGTTCACCTAAAAAGGTCAAAGAGGAGACGTTCAGATTCATCACACAAGGCTCTCTAGGAAATCTCACATGGATCTCACAAAGAATATCTGACCTGTCCACTGAGGGCCTGGATGTCATTTTCAAATGTGTTGTGCTGTCTGTGTAGATGCTGAACGGTGTTAAGATCACGTCCAAGGTCAGAAGGTAGCCCATCCTTCTTCTCCTTAACGCGTCCAAGCACCTCCATGGCATCTTGATGGAAGCGGTGCAGCTCATAGGAGGCGGCTAACATTTGTGTGCGCGTGTCAATCAGCTCTAGGAGATCAGCCCAGGCCTCATTTAACCCGTCTTTCCACTCAGCCACGCTGGCGTTCTCAGGATGACCCGACTCAATCAGGTCATCTGCCAGCCCATTGACACCATCCACACGCTCTTGGCCGATGGTGCTGGTGTCACGAGCAAACTCCCGGAACTTGTCCCTAAGCATCTGTGGAAAGAAAACCAGGTCGAGGAGTTAGAATTATTAATTAATTCGACTAAATTTCTCTGAGACTTCATGTCTCCAAAGCATGCGACTCAGAAAAAAAAGGAAAAACTCACAGTGACGTGTTCATAGTCCTGTCCTAGTTCGTGGGAGCCGGCAACCACCTCCCTTTCTGCGATCCACTGTTCCAGGTCATCCACCTCCCGCTTCAGCTGGGTCAGCCGCAGTCTCTCCTGGAGCCGCCCACGGCGCTCCTCAGCCAGGTCTTTTAACCCTGCGTAAAGCTTGTCAACCTGGGCCTGCCGCAAGGTGATTCTCTCGCTGTGTGAGTAAAGACATGAGTCAGATGAGTCCATGGGTTTATTTTGTGTAATACATCATTTTCACAGTTGAAAACTTCTTCCGCTCTCTCACCTCTCTGGGTGTTCACTGGTGACCATGAGTCGGCTGCTGTTAGCCAGTTGGTGAATGGTTTGTGCGTAATCTTCAAGTGCCTGTTCCAGCGTCTGGTGCTTCTTGACCATCACTAGTGCGCTTTGCTCGTCCTGATAGATAATAAGGAATTCATCACTTTTTCCATGAACAAAACTGTGAAAGACCGGCACCAAGAGCTCTTCTCTTACGTTTCCTTACCTTAGCTTTTTCCTCTGACATCATGTGCAGCTCTTGCTCACCCATCCAGGCCTCTGCCTCCGCTGCGTCAGCATAAAACTGCTGGGCGCGGTTGGCTTCAATCAGACGGGTGTGACGCTTGTCTGTCTCGGCAATCAGTTGGTCCCAGAGGTCCCGCAATTCAACGAGACGCTCCTCCAGGACGGACTGTCTCTCGCCGTCCACCTGGCTCTGAGTCATGCCTCGTCTGTGGATGTCGTCGATGCGAGGCTGGTGGCCCTGGATCTCTTTCTGCAACGTCTGGTTCAGAAACACAGGAGGTGGGTTGGCAATGTAGATCTAGACTCTAGACATGCACTAGTATGTAATCAATCTGCCATTTAATTTTCCATTTCTGAACGTTTTTAATATTGTACCTGGTTCTTCTTAATTACAAGCTGTACAGTTGGCAGATCTTTCCCGTGGTCTGTGGATGTTGCAAGGGGCATCCTCTCTCGTACCCAAAGCTGACAAACAAGAGAAATGAACAAAACATTAGCACCATGCAAAACCTGGTTCAATACAAAAACTTACTTTAAAAACAGTACTTCTTCTTTTAATTGATGAAGTCAGTCAGGTTATTTCGACTCACAATTTCATCCTCCAGATCTCGGTTGAACTGATGTGCTTCTTTAGAGGCGAGGAGTCGCTGCCTCCTCAGTTTCAGTGGATCCTGAAGGCCGGAGAAGTTGTCAGTGACTCGTCTCTGCTGGCCGTCTACCTCCGCCACTCCCGCGTCCTCCTGGGTCAGAGCCAGTGCCTGAGACTGAAGGGACTCTACCTCCTTTTCTCTGACCTCCATCTGGTGCTCCAGCATCTACACAGGATGATACAAAGATGTTAGACCAGAAGATATGACATTTGGCAGTGTCTTAACATTAACTTCACAGATTTGGCCAGTTCTACCACATGCACCTTGAAGATGTTTTTAATCACATGTAGAGTTCATGATGTTAATACACAAGGTTGTGTAACATGATATTTTAGCTTGGTTATTCAACAATGGTTATGGACATCAAAGATGGGATCTGTTGTGGTCTACCTGGTGCTTTTGAAGCAGAATGTTGACACTGGTCAAATCTTTGCCGTAGTCGTCACTGTGCAGCTGGCCCTCGAGGTTTTTCAGCCAGACATCCAGAGCGGAACAGCTCTGTGTGAAGAGCTCCGCCCGGTTAGCGTCGAACAAACACTGGGCCTTGGTGCGCGTGGTGCTCTCCAGCTCATCCCACTGACGCTGTAGGTCCTCAAGGGTCTGCTGGACAACAGGTTTGAGCTCTGGCTTCTCAGCCACCAGCGCCTGACCCTCCTGTTTCAGACAAGTGACAAAGACAACGTTTAGATTTTTTTTTATTAAGCTCCTTTGACAAGATTAGAGCTGGGTGAAGGTCCCCATTTAATTATATTACATAAAAAAAATATATATCTTATGCAACGCTTTCTGCGTATTTCAATGGCTTACCCATTGAAAAGTAAATGAAGGCATTATCAAGCATCAGCAAATACTTTTTTATAAAAAAAAAAAAAAAAACAACCCTTTCTTCAGAAAATGTTTACTCATTTATAACAGCAATTCATATAAAAATAGCAATACCTTATCAATTTTGTCCAGCCAGTCTTTGTTTGAGGCCAGCTCTGCCATGAAGGCCTGATGTTTCTGCCACTTGCTGTGCAGATTTCTGGCCTCATCGTAAGACATGTCCTGTGCAGTTAGCATCTTCTCATTGATCCACAATGTGAGCTGCAGAAAGTGAAAGCATTATGACATAAGCATAGTGTTAATGATTATAAAGGATACAAGGGATCGACACAAGTTGTATAGGTCAAGAAGTAATTTCTATTAAAAACACCATTAACATCTTTATTTGATTTTTTAATTGATAGAAAAATCTAAGTACCTCCTGTCCATCCTGGAGGAAGTGCTGAAGTTCACGGTTATCCTTGAGCTTGGCCAGTAACTCATTTGCTGCCTCCTTATTCTTAAGATGTCTGGAGTGAATGAAGGAGAACGCTTAGTGAGACACTCTTTGAATAATAAATGTAAACAAATAATTAACATCAACAGGGTATTTTTCTCAGCTTTGACTTTTTCTCTAACCTTTCCTGGATGGAGTCGACTTTTTCCTGGATCTTATCAGAATTTGCATTCGAGTCGTTAATGAGGCGCCGTCCGGCTTCCACCACACCAGTTATCTTCTCCTCGCTGGCCTCTGTGGTGGTGAGGAAATCCTCGTGCTTCTTGATGGCCTCCTCGGCTCCCTGCAGACTGGTGGGCATCTCTGTGTGCGACAGCACGTACTCCTACACAGAAGGAAAGGAATGTACTTTTTTTTATTTACAATTATCCAATCCCAAATATTTTTCCTGATATCTTAAAGTAATGTGATTAGGATAATTATAGCTATATCTGGGAATAAACAGACGAGTTTAAACTGGAGGGAATTGACTTGTTTCAGTCAAGATTTTGTATGAATCTTCTACAGCTTGCTTTGAATCTAAGCTTGTATTTGTCATGAGTTAAAATGTACAGCATTTATTTCTGTAAATTTAATGTTTCCACTATGAAAATAGGTTGCTGGTGTTTATGACACTGTATAATGGTCTACCACACGGAAATCTAGACCTATGGCCCATTTACAATTCTGCGTACTTCTCTCCACCTGGGTGCTCTAATTTGGGTTTATGTCTATTTAAAACATAACAGAAACCACAATAACTCACTCTTAACATGTTTAAGGTTATAGTTGCTACAAACAAATCTTTGTTAAAGATAACTTTAAGATAAATGATGCTATTAAACTAATAAAACTAATAAAACCTAAATACCTAAAGACTTCTTCGTTGGATTGATTCATTATTTATTGAGGTTATAAACAAAAAACATTTAGAATGTAATCATGTCTGGAAAGAATAGGAGTGGCAGATTACATTTCTATTTAATTCTCATATGCTGTAACTGATGTTCAAGCCTTTATCATCGACTTAAATGAGCCAGTATTATAATGTATTTTATGGACATGCAGTCAAGTGAGTTTGGTAATGACTGTTGCCCTACAATGCCAATATGACAGCACATTAAAACATTATTTTATTCAGAGAGAGCATACTTCTATAGTAAAGGCAGCAAGTGTAATTTCCTTACCTGGCTGTTGAGGAAAGCTTCTGCCTGCTTTGCATCTCTTAAGAAATTCTGGAAATCAAAGGCCTGGGCCAGAAGACTGTGCCGGTTCTCCCACATGCGACGCAACTCGTGCCAACCAGTGTCCAGTGCCTGGAGCCTCTGTGCCAGGAACATGTGCTGGGCATCTGTCTGACCCTGAGTCACCTCCTCACCAACTGCCCGCATCTTCTCATAGTCCTCCTTATAGTTATCCACCTCATTCTTGATGCACTCGTGCTGGGTGAGCAGACTCTCAGCCTCGGGCAGAGAGGTGGGGATGTCTTCTGAGGCCACAGCTGTCTGGGTGCGGGACAGCCACGACTGGAAGTCATCCAGATCCCTTAGGAAGCCCTGCAGCTTGCTTGCTTCCCCCAGTGACTCCTCACGCCGCTTCATGGTGGCGTTCAACTCCTCCCACACCTCTTGAATCTCTGCCAGGCGTCCTTGAATCTCTGCAGCCTGTTCTGGATGTTCCTCCGCCAGCTTCTCTGCCTCGTTGTTCAGATCATCCAATTTGCCCTGAGAAGACATGAAAAAAAAAAATTAAATAAAGAAGTGATGACAAGATATCTCAGCATGTTTTGGATTATTCATTGCCCAGCTTGTGTTATTCCCTTCTCTTCACAATAATGCACTGCATGTGACCTTGCCTTACCTGAATGGCCTCCAGGTCTCTCTCCATGCCAGTGAGTTTGCGTTGCAGAGCCATTACTCCAGCAAGGTCATTTCCCAGGCCTTGAGTGGACTCGATCACCTTTGTCTTTTCCTTCATCCAAGACTGGATCTCATTACACTCCAAGTGATAATTCTGGATGTTAAGAGCCGACTCGAGGCCTTGTTTCTTTTGACCAGCCATTTTTTCAAACTCCATCCACCTGGAGACCAAACAAAATGTAATATTACAGAGCTCATACAGTACAAATATATTTATGTGTAACTACAAAGTAAGTCAAGGTTTAACTAGGCCTTCTATGTCGGCTCTGACCTGTTATTCAGTTGATCTCGTGTCTGGTGGATTTGCTCTTTGTTACAGTTGTCTGAACTCAGCAGCTGCTGGGCCACCTGGTTCACATCGGTGACACGTGTGCCCAGGTTGTTCATCTCAGGTTCCAGTGTTTCAAACCTGCAGCCATAAATAATACACTCACATCAACTTAATCATTCTGAAAAGTTGAAAACCAAATTCAAACAAGAAATGTATTGTAGATAAGGAAACTATTTGCTAGAAAAGGCAGTGGCTTCTTTTGTCTGAATCATTTATTTTTCAATTTGGTTTCACAAATGTAATTATATGAGTCGACTCTTTTTCGACAACCTGAAGTTTAAGCTTAATTTTCTCAAACTTCAATAGGTTTTGAGGGATATTAATATGTTTCACTTTCATAAACCAAAAGACTAACCTCTGCTGCACCACCTCTAGATCCTCCAGTTTGGTAGGGATCTCCATGCCATCTAACCACTGCTCCTTCTCCTCCACCCACAGCTGGCAGGCACCAGCTTCACTGAACATGCGGTAGAGGGCCAGGGCCCCTTCCAAAGCCTGGCGGCGAGCTGCAGACAGAGACTCCAGCTCTTCATAGCGCTGCTCAATAGCAGGTAGGCGGCCTTCCACCTTCACAGAGCGATAAACATGAAGTCAGCACTACAAACAGCATGTCATCACTGAACCAGCATGAAAAACAAAGCACACATACCTCAGGGTAGTGTACATAGGCCTGTGGCAGTGCTTCGGCCTGCTCGTGCAGGGAGTCAATACCGGGACGGTGGCTCTGGATCTCCTCCTCTATCTCCCTCTGCTTGCGAGCTAGAGTTTGGGTGGAGAACTCATCGTGGCCAACCTCCGGACTGGACACCTGCCGAAGAGTTTCCATGATCCATGCCTCCATATCATTGGCATCTGTCTGGAATTGATGCAGGGCAACTGCTTCCTTAAGATTTTGCTCTCTGAGCTTAGTTGTCTGGGGAGGAAGGGAGAACAAGAAAATTAGAAAATACAAAAAACAATATTTGCACTTTTCAAATACAAAGAATCGTGATCACCACCCACCTCCTCCAGATTTGCCCACTGTGCACGGATGTCTTGAATCCTCTCATTGACCTCCGGGGCTCCAAAGTGTCCCTCGCTCACCAAAGCCTCTCCAGCAGCGATGCTGTTACTCAGGGGACCATAGCGAGCAGCCATCTCATCTCTGAAAGCTTCATGCTTGCTGAGCAGATGAAGGGCAGAGGTGAGATCTCGGCCACAGTCTCCACTGGCCAGGATCTGCTCCTGCTCCCTAATCCACGCAGCCTCCTCCCCGACATCCCACATGAACTGCCAGAGGCGACGCGAGTCCTCCAGACGCTCTCTGCGTTTCCCAGCTAGCTGACCGAGCTCCTCATAGGCATCGCCGAGCAGGTCGACCTTTTCACTGACTAGTCCTGGTTCGCAAGGTTTGTAGGCTGATAAAGAGAAAAGGCATTGATGAAAACACAACTTCTTTTATTTTGGGTACAAACAGGCCTGACTGAAGCTGCATGTTCTGCACAGAGCTTGTGTAAAGGAATGTTAGTGAACTCACCCTGTTCGTGGGAAGTGAAGCGCTGTGCAGCTGCCTGCACTCCCTTGATCCTCTCTGCCTGTGCCGAAATGTCAGCCTCCACCAGAGTGTGTTTCTGCAGTAGATCCAACACGTCGTGCAAATGTTTGCCACTGTCTGGAGACTGCAGACGACTCTGAAAAACAGTGACGTGTATTTGTTTTTCATTTGACATTTTTATTGGGTTTGACGGGTATGATAATCTGGAAGACTTCAAACTAATAATTTGGTAAAGTTTTGAATTAAAGCCATATTCAGAGGCATACTTTGCACTTGGTGACATACAGTATTGAAACGGCCAAAAATTAATAATATGTTGAAAACTGAATCACAACATGTTGTAGCTTTCGTCCATAAACCTGAACAAAACAATGAACAAGAGCCTTACTCAAATAAAGGCAGGGCAGATTAACCGAACCCGAGCAGAAGGTCATTAGGTGACAGTGAGACAAAGAGTTCATTTGAAAGAAGAAATATTTGTAGGTCTTCCTCAAATCTATCCCAGACAAATATCTCCATCCCAGCTCTGTTTCTCTATTTAGTAATGGCGTGAAAACTTGAAATACAAATTTCAGAACAGGTCAAAGCTCATAACAAACAAGTGATATATCTGTTTAAAGATGGTGGGTGTCTGCTTAGACCAGTGGTTCTCTAACTTTTGGGGTGGCCAATCAGATTTTAAGGATGGCCCAGGCCACCAATTCGGGAGCATGCCTGCCCCCTTCATGTCCCCACAACCCCCTACAGTAGAGGATTGACCACACAATTTGAGAAGTACTGGCTTAGACCAAGCCCTCAGTGTAATAGATTGAAATTGTAATACTTCCAAGGGGGCATAAATGCTTTTTTTTAAACATTTGACCAAATGTTACACAGGTTTGAGCTGAACATTTCTGTGACCACACCATAACCAAAAACTACATAGCCCTATTACGACCACCAGTAACTTGGCATTTAAACCAAATAAAAGTCTTGCACTGTCAATTCAAATCGTCAACGTGAATCATCATCATCATCATCATCATACAAAATGAATGATGCTGCAGAATTTTGAGGCTGCCAGGTGATGACGTGGGTAAAAGGCTTCTTCAATGGCAGCAGAAATGTGGAACTCTGTGTCCTGGATTTTCAGATAACTGCATTTAGTTAACACCAGCATTTTCAGACCAGCTGTGTATTATATCTAACCATGTGAAGTAAGAAAACACTCCCAGGAAACTTCCTCTGCCAACCTCAGTAAAGCCATCTATGACACACAGCACAGCTCAAGCTAGGCCTGTGTAAAGTGATTACGGCTTTTAATGGTCCTTTCTTAAAGAGCAGACACTAAAGCTGCCGGGACATGTGTGATAAAAAGACAACAAACCTAATGAGAGGATTAACTGAATTCCATTTTGTTAATTAAAAAAAAAAACAAAGCTAACATAAAAGCCACAATGCAAACATTGGTTCAAAAAGAGTGAGCTGTGTGAAACAGTGTGAGAGTGTGTTTTGTTGAGTGGGTCAGTACCTTCATGTCTGCCATCCAGTCCATGATGTAGCGCATCTCCTGAAACAGTCTCTGAAGGTCTCGATGGGCATTCAGACGCTCTCTGCGTGCAGTTAGAAGCTCTTTGAGGTATTCCCAGAGTCGAAGCACGTTGTCCCTCCGTACAGTTACTCGTCGTACATCATGGTAGGCCTCTGCTTCCAGCTCTATGGCAACAGCCTCCACAGCAGCCACACGCTCCCAATATGCCCCAATGTCTGTTTCAATGGCTTCATGTTTACGGGTGGCAGCTTCAACTGCTCCTAAGTCAGTCCCAAAGTTGTCCTTTAACAGAGGAAAATGAACTTAGCACAGTTTAACAATTCACTGTATTTCAGTCAGAAATAAGATTACAATACAAATAATAAGACTAAAGCATAATATTTGGCTTTTTTGTTTCAATTATAACCAATTTTTCGCACACTACCTGAGACACCAGCCTCTGGTTCTCACTCAGCCACGTCTCTCTCATAGCAGCCTTGCGATCAAAACGCGCGGCAAGCATCTCCAGCTTCTCCTGACGAATCAACTCATTTCTCAGCGCCAGCTCTCGTTCATGCTCTGCCTTCTCCAGTCGCTCCCATGCCTGCATGATCAAAAAAAACAGGAAGTCTGTCAACAACATCCTGCAATCAGGGTACCAATGCTGCATTCATGGTGAGGCCAACTTTGTTTAACCCAATAATAATAATAATAATACTTGTGAAGAAGACACTAGTCATTGTCCAACAAAACCTGCTTATTTAACACACAGAATTGTGACCTGCCAAGAGACTGCAGATTTAAACTAGCTCTAAGCTGACTCTGGTGCAATGCATCAAATGGCAACATTTATGTTTAATATTGTACATGGTCGCTTTACAGATAAAAAGTGAAGTAAGAAAACATGACATTATAAAGGGAGTGTTTCACATTTCCTGGTGAAAAACACAACAAAACTAGCCCATACCTTATTGATGTCAGAGATGAGTTTGCCCTCTCTTGGCATGTAGACCTTCTGATTGTTTGCTCTCATCTTGCTCTGGATGGTAAAGAGGAGGACCTCCAAGTTTCCTTTCTCTGTAAATCTGTGTAGACAGACATCACACATGTTAATAGTTTCCATGTTGGATCCTTATGACTCACAGGGACTGTCTCCTTCACTTGGTTACTGTTTAACTCTAAGCTCTTTTTTTTTTGTCTTACTTGGGAGGTTTCTCAACAGTCCTGTAGGAGTTGAAAGCCTGCAGCTGGTTCTGCACACCATTCAGTGAGTTAGCTAGCTGCCGATCGTTGAGCGTGCCAATGGTCTGTTCAATCCACTGCAGCAGCTCCGAAGCAAGGGTCTCATACTTGTCTATCAGCTGGTCTGCTTCGATAGCATAGTCCAGCACCTGCAAGCAAAAGAGACACATGAGGCAACTGGTGGTATATGGTGACATAAAGAAAGAAAAAAAAAAACACTAAAAAGGTAGCTCACCTTGCCAATGCGTTTGCCCTCCACTGCCAGGGCTTTCATTTTGGAGAAGTAATGGTAGTAGGTCGCCACATAGGTGATGATGGATTTTTCATCAGGCTGATCAACATTAACATCTGAAAAACAGAATGCAAGATCCATTTGCATCTTATTTTCTTGTTTGAATCTACGTAAACAACACATCTAGTCTTTGCTTATTTTTGTGTTTATTGTTGATATTTAATATTATACCTTTGTACAAAGAGAGCACAGTTCACCAAAGTAAAATTCCTTGTGTGTTTAAGCATACCTGGCCAATGAAGCTGATTCCGATTCTGATTCTGATCTAAGTTTAGCTCTCACAACAGCACAATTAAAGAGCTTAATAGGTGCCAAACTGTAACCGTCTTTGGACGCGCTTTTTGTGGTGTCAGTGTAGCCGACATGTGACGTAGTGTTGTCTAAGATAGATTTAATTCCAGTAATCCTCCATAGTCTTACCCATCAGGCTGTTTTGGGACAACAGACACCAGCTTAGTGCCTTAGTGGGCAGTATCAGACTCTCAGCGTGACCTAAAGGAACGCTTCATGTTTTCGTGGAGGCTTTACCCACTCACCTTCTGGGTCCAGCAGCTTGGTTAGCCCCAGATCCTTCTCGGCCACATTGAAAGCATTCTGGAGATTGTAGTGAGCATTGGATCTCTTCAGGTTGTCGAACTCAATCACGTCGGGTCTGCAGAGGCCAGGGAACAATTATGGGTTTAATAAGTACAGAAAAGCACTGGGAAACGCAAATGGTAATACCTTTAAGGTCGATATAATCAGCTCCTTGTTTTACAGAGCCAATCAACTCCAGTGCATGTTGGTGTTTACAGACCTAATTATATTGAATGCATGAAAACAGGTTTTTCCATCTGTGGATTAGGCAAGCGGCTCCTGACAATTATTTCTTATTCAAGCCTGGATTGGATTCAACGACCAATTATCATGAATTATGGCTGTTGTCCCACTTTGGTTCAATGTCCAGTGATTGACTCACAAACCTTTCACTCCACAGCATAATAAATTGCAGATACTTCGGGATCAAAAGGGGGAAAAATAGCTCTTTGCTTATTGGAACTCCCTGCTGGGGAGCCTAATGTGTCGTTTGAATAAAGACCTGATCGTGTGATCGTGGTTTACACGGGTATACCATGGCTCGCTGACTTCTTCAAGTATCAGGTATCACTCAATGTAGCAAACAATGCGATCTGATGTCTCTGACTCAGGAGTTAAGGCTACACCTTTGGCTTTTAAGGCCAACAACAAATCATAAGACGTGCTATACACGGCACTATTGCCAGCAGGGTGTGCAAGTGAGTTACCAAGCACGGCTCTTCATAGAAAATAAATGGGTTATTATTTCTGTGATCTAGGTCATCTTACTCCCCATTTTATTTTCATCCTTTCATTGCTTTGAAGGATGAGAGGAGAAGAGGAGACCTAAATAGAAAAGGGGATATAAAAAAAAAAAACACCCCAGAGAAGTGAAATGGTACAGCGACAGGTGCTTTTTGATTTTTACCAAAGACATATAAAAGAGTCTGGCTGACACCTTTATGATTTTTAGGATACGAATCCTGAATCCACATTCACAAGATAAGACCTGTTAAATATCTAAATCCGAGTACAGGGAACGGTATGTGACATCGAGTACAGGGAGAAGTCAATGACCTGTGTTTGTGCACGATGGCACTGAACGCGAGACCATCTCTCCAGCTGGTGGTGAAGTTGTGGATGTTGACATTGGGATATCTGCAGAGACCAGATCAGAAGTCATTAATCATTAATGTTACACAGCAAGAAGCAGCAACCAGAAATAGCTCAAATGATCAAATATATCTTTAGCACATTAACAGAGTTTATGCTGCGTGCTTTAGCCCTCCCTCTGACTCTTCCCTCCCACCACTTTCTCACCCAGCAGTTTTCATTTGGCACCAAAGCAGGAGGGCATCTTTCGCTGATTTCTTCTCCTTGTTGTCTTCTGTCTCCACACTGATGTCCTGGATCTGTTAGCAGAGGATTCATTCTGTTAACACCTTTTCCAACATAATTGCACACCATTCCTAGGTAATTAGATTTTCCAAAATGTTTTAAAGAATCTATTATTTTTTGCACATCGCTCAAAATTTCAGTGGGATACAAGCTCCCATGTGAAAGTATGGCATGTGGAATTGCCTTGTAAATCACATGGCAGAATAATTTATCTATTTCACCATATTTATGAGCTGCCTGAGGATGGACTAGGCTACATGCAGAGACAAACTCTCAGTCTGAAAAAGGTCAAATAATGTAGCAGCTGTGCGCTGACAGTGGAATGAACACTGATCCCCAAGGCTACACTGGATGTTACCTGGAAGCGTAGGATGATGGTCCAGATGAGACCCAGGGTGAGACGGTGATTCCCATCCACAATGTCATGTGAGCCCATGTTTTCTAGATGGACTTTTTGCTCTTTCAGAAACTGCAGGGCTTTATCGACATTCTCCAGGCAGTGGATACGCATGCGACCCTTTGTGGGCTTTGGCTGTGTTGAGCAGACGAGGAAAAAAAAAAAAAAAGAATTAAGACTGTGTTACAATTATTGAACGAAAGTGATTACAAAATAAATGGAGAAAAGGGAACGTTAGCAATTAAAATAGAAAAACAAGTTGATTCAAAAAGGAGGAAGAAGTCATGCTTTAGGAAAGAAAAAATGAGTCACATGAAATCCTCCTTCCAACAGACATGTGGTGCAAGACGAAGGTGATACAGAGGGCCGGGGTCAGGGTTAGGATAGAAAAGGGCGGTTTCTGTGCGATACTGACCAGCTGTTCTCCCGAGAGCACTTCCAGAAGGCGGATAAGCATACGGCCATCTCGTAGGTCAGTGTACAAGTCACCGATGCGACTGGTGACTCGGCCCAGGTGAGAGTTCACCCATTTGGTGAAGGTCTTCTTCTGCACTGCTTCACGCTCATCTGCAAAGCACACAACAGGGAGAGAAGCTAGAGTCACTTTCCAGCCAGATAACAATCCACTCTGAAGCCTGAGACATCATCAACATCGCTACTGTCAGGGATATAAATAATTCTAAGGAATCAATTTGGCGCCAAACAAACAGTGGTGTTAACACCCGGAGGTGACAGTAAATCATAAGGACTTAAGCTCTGGTCCTGAGCAGTTCATTTCACAGATAAGCGACGCCATTAAGTCTCTTGGATCACAGCATTGACAGCTTAGGGAGAGGTTTTCACTCTTCACACTCTTTAGTTTATTGTTGGCTCTCCTTATGCGTGCACCGCTGATTACTCTAATGATGTGAGTTTACAAGAAAACAAAGTGACGATGCAAAATTGCACAGAATGGGGATGGGATTTAATGAGCAATTTGCTGTTCTCTTTTGGAACAGGACTAAAAAAAAAAAGTGCCACGATAAATTAAGCTGTGGCAGCAGCTCAGACATATGGACCAGGGGAGTAAGAAGCTAATCCTGCTCTGCGACCTGACAAGGTGACCTCATTTCTAGGACACAAGGTCTCCCTCTACCTTCTGAAAACACTGTACTAGTGGTGTACTAAATGCATTGCATCCAACACAAGCCAACAACGCAGACCAACCTTTAGAGCAGACAGAAAAAAGATCAGATGAGTTAAACCAAACAAATCCTACATGTAGAAGTGTGACATGAAACATACTTGTGGTAAAGATGGATTGCTTTATTACAACAAGGAAAATAAGCAAATATTCATCTTTCTTAAACAACTTGATTCACATTTTGAGTGAAACTGTACAATTAAAAACTCTACTTCACTAGAACTAGAAAGATCCATCAGACCAAACCATGTTTTTTTTTTGTGACTGGTATCATGCACATTGCACAACACCTCTGCACTGCTACACACTCGAGGGTGGTGCTCAACTCATGTGCTTCAGTTGTCATATCAGGAAGAAGAAAAAAAATCAAAAATGAAACAGAATTAATGTGAAAGAAAAGTGCCCTGAGGTGTCATGTATCTGGTGAAGGTTCACACATCTAAATACTGTACAACTCTTCTGTTCCTGCTGTTTCTTACCTTTAGTGTTTAAATTAACATAAGCTAACCTCTATGTATTCAAATGTTGCTTCAGTTTTGTTTCACTGTCAAGACAGTGTGGTTTGATTTGAAAGAATTTAATAAATGAATGAACTGAGTAAATGTCAAAAGCATTCACTTGCTGATGAATAAACTCCTCATGCAGATGGCTGTCCTGTAATCTTCAAATACAACACTTTCACGGCCGACACTTTCAACCTAAAGGCAAGGTCCAAATATCAAGGCAGTTCATGTAACAGTGGGAGATTGTGAAGGTCAAGAGAGTGGAATACTGACATTTTCAAAGGAGATCCCCGAGATGAAATCACAAAGCCAATAAATCAGTGGCAGGACTTGTGGAATAAAAGTAAAGAGACCTGTTTGCACTCAAAGTGTTGTATAAGTAAGGTGGTCAGTAGCTCAGAAAGCACAGAGGAGTCATAACTGTCCATTGTTTATTAGGACTTTTTGGTTACTTAATGAAAGCTTAACCACTTCAAAATGACTGAGCAACTTGTAGGTGACTATGCAATAAACCCATATCTAACGGCCATCTAAAAAAAGAACAGATTAAGAAACATCACAACATCTCCAGGGTGGAGTAACACCACAGGATGTTACACTTGATCTGCTGCAAGCTGAAAGTTCTTCCTCAGTTCTTCAACTTTCATATAAGCAACACAGACATCTTCTGGTAATGTGCTACCACAGTGATGAATATAGAAGCAATCTGTTGGATATTCATTAACATTAGTGGAAGTGAAATACTGTCATAGCCCTGTATATTGATGTATTTTATAAGCAAGTTTCCTAATTGTTAATGTGCCACTAACATGCCCACAAGGATGCTTATCAGGATGGTGACATTTCTTTGGACTGTAAATTTTACAGCCAGCCTCGACTTGAAAATCTCAGGGACTGTAGAAAAAACAACAACATTTTTTAAAGATGTGTTTTGTTGTAATCCTTGCACAGACATAAAATGCTTTAGTTGCAGTATTCCTGACAGCACCATCTGCTGAAGTGCACTGACCAGCAAGAAAACAAACATTACACTATTACATTTCATTATTCGTTTTGCGGTGCAGGTTCTCGACCAAGGCTGAGGAATGACTGGTTCTTACAACATTTGTGTTTGCACTTGTCTGCAGAAGAAACTTAAGAACAGCATTTCTGTATGTGCAGCTACAAAGTATCCGGCTCACTGTGTACCTCGCCGTTTTACTGCTAGGGTGCTCGGTAACAATTGGGAGGTCATGCATTACAGGCAAATATTTTAAAGCCACAGCATAATGACATGGATATGTTTTTCTTGAAGAGACTGAACTTTTGACTTTCAATGAATACATTTCATGAAAAAGCCCTGATGAAGTGTTATGGCTGAGGACTCAATATGAATGCACAAAACTGTAATGACAGCTGAGCTTCGTTGCGGCGCTGTTGCAGAACGGCTCTCTGAAAAGGCCAAAGTAGAACCTTTTAAGACAGAGAATCGGTGGCTGTACAAAGATCTGTTAAGTTAAATAAGGTGACCCAGCCTTCAGGTGTTTTCCGTTGGCTGGAACTGAGACAGAAACAGGCAGGTTTTTTTTTTCCCCTCTATCAGCCTGCTGGTCTCCAGGAAATGTGATCATTATAGTTTAATGGGAATCAAGGACAATAGAAAAACAGAATCATGTTTTGGCATCACACTGAAACAGCCACTATGGGTCACTCAGTCCTGTATTTCTTTTGCCCTAGTTAGTCCTCTAAATACATTAAGGGTGTTGCTTGAGCTGTGTTGTCATTATTTTATACAATTATCCTTTGAACAGACTCTGCTTTAACCCGCTTTGATTTTCTTCTAGACTCCGTCATGCACTACAGTAAATGATTATTCCAGCATTAAAGAATCACTTTGTCATTTAGAGTTGTTCAATGATCCAGCAACGACAGGATACTGTGCCAGGTGAGCTACAGTGAAGTCGAGGATCTACATTCCTCCTGACGCCTGGTCGTGTTGGGACAGCACCCAGCACTGACGAGGAGGCAGTGTTGCTGTGAGTAGGGGGTCCAGAAGAAGAAACGCTACTTCTCTGCTCATACTGTGCTGCTAATAACAAGGCTACTAAACAAGAACACAGGACAAGACAAACACAGACTCCGGTCTCTGATGTGTTTGCTCATTATGGCAAGCAAACACAAACCTATCATCAGTTGCAGCCGCAGTCGATAAGGGCCAAAACCGGTGCAGCTGTTTGGACTTACAATGTGACATTTGTATATTGTGTTTTTAGAGCATGGGAGGAAATGTCAATTGTAACGTTTGTACACCTACATCTAAAATGATCTGTCTTTTTTTTTTTTTTTTTAAACTCACCTGAATGAATGCTCAGAATCTGCTTGCTTATTTTCAACCACGATGGGCGAAGGTGAGAAAGAAAAGATGAAGGACTGGACTATTCTCTCCTCTATGTTGTCAGATGTCTTAAGTCACACGTCACACAAAATACCTGCAGAGCCTGCCAACATTGTTACACAACAGAGGACGAGCCAAAGAAAGGAGCGAAAACAGGAGCTTTTAGAAAGGCAGCCTTGTAATTACTTGTTAGTTTGACATTTTACAACTCTCGCATACTTTCATGCCTGCCATGAAATGTGGACAATTCCCCCCACATGTTAATGCAATGTGTCATTTTTAGGGGCATGTGATAAAACTGCCTTTTAAACACACTTTGCAAAGCCTATAATCCATCAGATCACACGTTTGTACCGTTCTTAAACATGTTTTCCTGCCATTAAACACAATTCTTCAAAACTGGACTTCAGTAATATCTCACAGCGCGATCCTTGAAAGCTTTTTAGGATTAGATTTAAAATCATTCTTATTTCGATAGAAGTGAGCCTTCAGGACTGTTTTTGAACTGTCCTGGAGCTCCTTCTTGTCCTTCCTGAACTTGTGTGTGTGTGTAAGCTAGAAAAACAAGTGATTAGTGTTTTCCTCCATTGTTTACTAATGGCAGATCTGAACGAGTAGTTAGAGGCATCACTGAATGTTTCAAAAGCATATTTGGGCATGTCCAGTCATTTTGAGCATGTTTGTCTCAGGTAGTGAGTTTAAAGTATATGTCAGGGTGGGGGGAGGAGGGACGCTCAGCATGTGCTCTCTCTCTCTCTCTCTCTATTGTTAAGAGGTATGACATTTGGCTCACTGCTCCTTTCATATTTAACCCCCAAACAAACTTGTGTACTGTTGATAACGATGAGCATCTGCAGGTAATCTGAGCAAATATGCCGCCAGACTAAATCCTTTCTTTGTGGATCCTAGATGCTAAGTTCATGTTTGGTGATAAAATGGAGACAGGTACAGCGACCATGAACGAGTCAGTGGGAGAAAGTTCACGCAAATCTAAGAAAACACCATCACATCCATGACAAAAGAAAGGCTTTAGTTACCGTGCAGAGCTGTGTCATGGGTTAACTTTAAGAGTTTAGCAATCCTTTTATGAAAATAATGAAATAAGTGTTTAGAGGTGGGAATCTTTGGGTGTCTCACGATTCGATTCAATCTTTTGGGTCCCGATTCGATTCAGAATGATTCTGGATTCATGATTGAAAGTCTATTTTTGAGTAAGTACATACTTCAGGATCTACTCCAGTCATCTGCGAGACTGGCTGAATATCTTGCTGCTCCCATTGCGATTTTTGAAAGTTATGAATCAATTTAAAATCTCAGATAAGATGATAAGAATCTTGATTTATATAAAAAATCAATTCTTTTCTTTCCCACCTCTACAAGTGTTCACTTAGATTCCCATTTTGACTTCCCTAGCATAAAATGACCTTTTCTTAACCCAGTTCAGTGGTTGTCTTCACCCAGAGTCAGTCAATCCATTTTGAAGAAGTGAAGAAGCGTGACTTCAAGA